CCCCAAAACCCCAAAACCCCAAAACCCCAAAACCCCATAGTGATCGGCCATATTGAAACTATGTAGGAATTCTTATATAATTAAGGATAGAGAATAGAGACTAATTTCAGCAGTGAATCAAACTTAATTCTACCTTCTTCGTTCTTGTGTTGGGATATTTGATCAATAAGAGAAGACTAAAAGATTAGAGTGAATACTGAATTTGAGCAATGTAGACAGAAATCTGCCTTGTTAAGAAAACCTTACCTCTTTTGTGGGGTGGACTCTTTTTAGCACACGAAGGATCACCTCAGGAGGGATTCCTTCTTCAGGGAAATTTTTAAAGCTCTCCTTTATTTTATTCTGGTAATGGCTAATATCTAGAGACTTCATACCAGCAATGACTTCATCAATTGTGAACTCGGTTTGAGATCCAGGAAGAACCTTTAGCAACATTTCTGTATGAAAATTACAAATTTTAGGGTCGATTGTCAGAAATTTGAATGCTTCTGACAAAGAACTCTTAGGGACTTTAGAGTTAACTAAAACTCTTTTCAAATTCTTCTTGATCTTCTTATTCCATTTTGCTGGCAAGTAGACAACTTGGGTGTATAGAATGCCGACAATAGCAGAGTACATATCCATTTCTCCTTGGAAAATTTTTAATCTCTCTTTGACGGCTTCTTGGTCTTCAATACCTCAGTGAGCATCTTCGCCCTCATACTTTTTAAAGAAGAGCTTATGATGGGTTCAGTCCATTATTGAAGACCGAAGGAACTGGTCGCTATTGAGCATCTTTTCAAGTAGGTCCATAAACTCTTCTGAGAGATCATCAAACTCACTAATTGTAAGGTCGATCTCATTATCTCATATTTTCGTTTGGTAGTGTTTAAACCCATATACCTCAAAAGGCTGTTTTCCAGTGATGAGGAAATATGCGATAATTCCTATGTTCCAGACTAACCAGTCTAAAGAATGGTGACCTCTGATCACTTCTGGGCTTACCTATATTCCATTAGTCATTTTTATATGATAAAAGCTTTGAGTATATTTAAACTTCTCATGGAATTTTACAATACAAATTTTTGTAAATTCTTGGACATTTTCTATCAGAATATAGGGAATGATAGAAATCTAGAGTAACTTACAAAATAAACAGATCCATATCGGTTCTTGAAATACTTCAGATTATCGAATCAAGTTTTATACTCAAAATCTATGACTTTTACTGAACCATCTTGGGTCACAAAAATATTATGAGGCTTTAAGTCGGTGAATTTAAATTCATGGTCTACTATGTACATAGAAGCTTTAACTAGCTTTTTAAGTAGTTCCATAACCGCTTTTATTCTGACATTTCGGTGTCCTGGATATAGTTAAAGAGCTCCTTTCCTTCAATATATTCTTGTATGAAGTAGAAGTTAGTAGAATCCATCCATCACTCTTTGAACTTGACCAAATTCGGATGCTTCAGGTCTTTTAAGAAGAACTTATTAGTTATTTTCTCAGATATGTCTTCTTTATCTTCATCTCCATAAGTGCTTTTCTTTACCATCCGGAGGCATGCTCTAGTTCCTTCCTTAGAATCTTCAAGGAGATAACACATACTTCCTTCTCCCTTACCTAATACCTCGACAATTTTATATTTTTCGGGGAAGAACTTTCCTGCTGCTGAATGGATGGTTTCACTAGCTTTTGGATTAGAATCCATTCCAGCAGGACGCAACTCTGGACTATTTCGGACAAATTTGGATTCCTTAAATTCAGAATTAGATTGATTATAGTCTTCTTTCTTCTCTTCCTTAATAGTAGGCAACTTATGGACATCTCTCGCAGCTTCCTCGTTATTTCTGCTCCTCATCTTTTTCTGCGATGGAGTTCTTTATATCTTCATCATCATCTAGCTCTAGTCTCTTCTCAGGGGAGTCGTCTTTGACATATTCTGGGTTACCTTCCTCTGACTTGCTTATCTCAATCTTGAGCTCTTTTGTTTTTGCATTTATAACTTTTTCATTCTTTCTTTATAAAATTTCTCTTCTTGCTCAGTTTTTCTTAAATTTTGGTCTTCAATAGGGAGAGGGATCTTTATCCCACCTTCTTTCTGTTTGGATGATTTATCATGGCTGCTCTTAAGGTTCTCAATATGGATTTTGCATTCCTCACCTCTTTGGAGATTTCTATGTGTATTCTCTCTTACTCAAATCCCACTTGCTTCTTTGTGCTCCTCCCTGATATCGTTTGAAAGATTGTTTCACTTTTGCATACTTTTCCTGGACGATAATCCAGGCTTAATTTTAGTTTCTCCACGAATTTCGGACACTAATCCTGTATTATTCTGATGCTCTGTTTCTTCATAGCCTCATCAGTAGTTGTCTGACTTACATTGAAGTTTTTCAATATTAGATCCTCAAGCTCCCATTAAATTTATTTCAATTATAGATGTTAATTTGGGGTTTTGGGGTTTTGGGGTTTTGGGG